ACTCCAGCTGATCCAGCCTCCAAACAGTGATCTTTATGTAGAGTAGGTACCCAGAAAAGAATAAGGCAGTATCAGGTTCACCAATATTTGGAACATTTAATTCCTGAATTCTGTCAAAAAGTGAGTGTCTTGCATAGGAAATTGAAATTGAAATTTAGTATAAAATGATTGTTGCACAGACACTCCTTTCAACATAATCAGGTATAAAAACTATAGTAGAAAAAATAAATATTTTAATATAAAAAAAAAAAATATTGAACAAGATTTAATTATAATGATTATAATGCTCGTTATAATTGAGCAAAATGCTGTTTTCTTGATAACAGTTCTGGCAGGCAAAAATAGGAGCTAAAATAAGGTAGGTTAAAAAAAATAAGAAATGAAATCTCTGGATTCTCCCCTAAATAGACAAAATTTTCCTCTCGAATTAAGGTAGCTACCACAGATACTAGATAAACCTGGTGTTGAAATTAATCAAATCCAGAATGTGTCAAAATTCTTGAGATGTTTTAATTAAAACTTTTTTACTGAATTTTTGACCTGTCTGGATTTCTATTAAAAAATTACACCCTTTAGTTAGGATAATAATTTAGGGAGTCAAACAGATAATGGTTGTTCAAGCCTCTGCCTGGATTCAATGAAGAGTTAATGGCGATGGACTCACAAATTTGGTTCTCACCGACTCTATTTAGAGCAGTGGTTCCCAAACTTTTTTCTTTTGCGCCCCCTTTCTGAAATTAAGAAGTGGTTGCGCCCCCCTTCCTTCCCCCATTATACAAAAACATTTTTTTTTACTTACTGTAACTCCTCTGAACTGGACTTTGGCAGAGAAAGAATGGACATGACAGTGGGCAGCGAGCGTGCGCTGTAGCAATTACTGTATTCCTTTTATACATCGAGTTACACCGAACGTGTCGCTCTAGAGCTCCTCGGAGTCACTCCAAAACACACAATTCAGAATAATTCAGATATTAGAGAGTTCTCGTGCTGTCCAAATTTCAAATACCGTAACGTTATTTGACAAGTATGACATTTCTTACTGTATTAGCGTTAGCGGAGCCGCCCGCTACCTAACGGGAGTTAGCGGATGCCTTACCGTAACGCTATGCTATGTCAAAATTAGTTTACGCACCATTTACGTCTGTAAGAATAGCAACTTCTAATATTTCCTCGATAAAAAACACCAAGGAAAAATTATTGAAACTCGGGAATCTTCAGGATAAATAAAAGTTGGCAAACAAGCAAAAAAAAGTTGGGTTAGATCACTCAATTCAGCTGTCAAAATGTAAACAGAATAAGGAATTAGAGGATTTTTGTGACTTCGTGTCCGAGACACTAAGCAGCTCCGAGTAACTCAACGGGTAAAAGTAATACAGTAACAGATCGCATGGCAAAGCTGCTTTGGCTTATGTATGCGCTGTTGTAGTATTTTAGACATCTTTTTTAAAATTTCACCTGATTTTTTATTTTAAAGCTTAAAATTTGTATTAATTGTTTAGAAGACTTACGCCCCCCTCAATGTTGCTTCACGCCCCCCCAGGGGGGCGCGCCCCCCAGTTTGGGAACCGCTGATTTAGAGCAAATGGTCCAATATTCCCACACTAAAAATTGATTCTGAAAGCCAGAGCAGCAGTACCTATTTGAAATCCAAAAATCTGTGTTGGCTTACCTCTTATAACAAAACGTGGCACTAACTAATAAGCAATTCATACAAAATGGAAGCCAACAATTAGATAAAAAAACTTAAAATATAATACTTATATTTCAAAAACAGATAAGATAAGATTTATCAGGTAAAAACTTAATAAAGATATGCTAATTTGAATATTGAAATATTTATAAGGGAGGATCCAGAAATTTAAAGCACAAAATTATTTTAAAAATAAAGTGGACTTGCCTGCCAGAATATTTTTCAAGGAAAGAGGTCGTTTTAGAAACCACAGCCAGCAGGAAAACGAGCTCGTGTTTTTTATACTTACTGCATTCCAACCAGCTTCAACCAATCAGACGAGTACACCCAAAAGACCATATTCACTTCAAAATGAAAACACAATGAAAGACCGCATGGAATAAAAGAGAATGGATAAAAATCCACTAAAATTATTTCAATTGTTTACAAATTATAATAATTTAAATTAAGGTTATGTCAAAAATAAAAAACTGTTAATCAATTAGATCATTAAGGGCCAAATTATGGACCAACTGGTAAGTGTCTGGTTGTTACCTAGCAGGTACTTTCTATTATTTAGATCATAGAAAGTACCTGCTAGGTAACAACCAGATGTTTACCAGTCAGTCCATAATTTGGCCCTAAGCCAAAAAATGATTATTTCAGAATCAGAAGTTAGTAAAGGACAGAAATGTATCCATTTGCTAAAAGTGAGATAAATATAACTTCTTTCAATGAAAATGTAAATGACTTTCAAATGCGAATTAACCATAATCATGCTTTGAAAAATAAACCATCGGGCACTTGACTAGATGACAGTACCGGTAAGATATCCGCACTCCACGGACATGACAGATAGATGGCAGCACTTGTATTATTTAAATTTGAATTTGTATTTTGTGGATATTATTTGGCTGATTCTAAAATGGAAAAAATACGACTTTATAATGAAAATAAGAAGAGATGGAACATGTTACGTAAATGATAAATTTATCGTAACAAAGGATAGGTAGCAAGATGGCTGGAGAAGTTACAGCAGTACAATTTTCTCATCAAATACCGTTCTGGTAAACTGCATAATAACGAATATGCCTTATCCAGGCGTCCATACATAGCTTAATGCAAGCACTGCCTCAGAATCGACCAACGTGGAAGAGTTCCTATCCGAAGTGACCAATAACACGATAGTGACATCAAATTATTTTTGAATCTAGAGGAATACGGAAAATCCAGACCAACCTGGCAAGAAATATCACCTAGAAACTCAACTTTCAAGGCGCTGTGGGCTCAATTGAACTTCCTGCTAGTCGAAAATGGTTTACTGAAACGAACCTGGGAGGGTACAGATGGTAAAATCATCCTAACACAATTGGTCGTGCCTAGGACAAACGTGGTTCGAGCTCTAGAAGAAGCTCCCAAATGGACATCCGGAGCTCACATGGGAGTCAACAAGACCTTGGACAAGATCCGCGACAGATTCTATTGGTTGAACTATTACCAGGATGTTAATACATGCGCAACAACTCAGAATACGATCTAAGGGAAAAATGAAAACTTACAACGTAGGGATACCTTTCGAACGAATGGCAATAGACTTAGCCAGCCCATTTTCTCCTACGCGGAGTGGTGATAAATCGAGCTTAGTTGCCATGGATTATTTCAAGCAAGTGGCCAGAAGTTTTCCCTATTCCAAATCAAGAAGCATCTACAGTTGCAAAAGTCCTCGTCAATAATGTTTTTACTAGGTTTGGAATCCCATCGGAACTTTATTCGGATCAAAGGCGAAATTTCGAGTCGCGACCATTTCAAAAACTTTGGGAACTATTAAGTATTCACAAGATCAGAACCACGGCATTGCATCTATAATCAGATGGCATGTTTGAGAGATGCAACAAGAAAATCGGGGAACATCTCTCCAAAGAAGTTGACAAGCATCAAAATGATTTGGTTGAGCATATACCTACTATCTATTTCTGATGGCATACAGGTTAGCAGTACATAACACAACAGAAATTATTGCACCAGCCAAACTGTTGTTTGGATGAGAACTTCGTTTTCCTTGTAGAGAATTAGTTGATAAATTAGTAATAAAAGTTGTACTGTTTGTGGAGTGACTTTTAGTGAACTCGGAATTCGTGAAAATTTAAACAGAATTTTAGCAACTATTATATCAGTTTGTTGATAGGAATCAATCATCACCATCACTCCACTCATTAGAAAATGAATCTCATAAATTCCTGTGATTTTCGGACTTGTAGTATGATGATTTATTCGTAACCTCGCAGTAGATCAAGACTTCATTCACACACTAAAAAGGGGTTAGTGTTGAAAATAATTTCTTACGAACTAAAATCGGTCTTGCTCCAAGGCATATAAAGAAGGTAAGCGCATCAACCCTTATCTCTTAGCAATATTTCAGGGGGTTATTGGTAATGTATTTTAAAGTCTTGGCTTTGTACTTTCGGTAAGTTATATTCCGGCACGTTTGCCGGTGATAAGTTTTTGTACGGATAATTGAAAATCATAAATATTCTTTTATAGAATGAACACGCCTATTTGCTTCGACCTACGGAGGATTCTTATTAAAAGGGAATATATTTTCTAGATAAGGAAAAGCCAATTTTGATCGCGGTTTAATGGGTTTCAAAGAAGAATTTTACGAGTTCTATTAGCATTGGAAATTGCTGATAATAATGGAACGGCTATTAGCAAAAACCAATTAAAAAATAATAAAATTAAGGTAGGTATAGGTAATTATATTTTTATGGAAACAAAGTTCATTTGGGTTCAATCATCAATCAATGAAATTGCATAAGATAAACGCTTATAAAATTGAAGCTTTTCCTTTCATAAGTAACAGTCACGTTTGTTCAAAACCCTAGTAAATAAACAACAAAGGAAGTCCCTTGTTTGAAACGACACACGTATTATGACACTTATAATTTATTCGACCTTCCATCCATATTCTCTATTTTCATCCATACACATAACCCTCTCAGCTAAAACAACACCCCCGAAAACAAAAAGATAAATTCATCATCATACAAAACACCAGTAGCTATAGTGTTACACATTTCACTTTTGTCTGATACGAGCTCTTGTTGCAAATAATTTAGGAAGTTGTACGTGTTAAGGGCGGATCTAATTTTGAAACTGTCATAAACTGAATTGTTGTGTATATGTGTACGTATATAAGGCTAAATGCTGAAGTTTTGCTATATTCAACCCCTATATTATGTCTTTAGTTGTTTTGTTTTGTTGCCCAACGTTAATTACCTGGAAAAAAATGAAAGCATTAACAAATAACAAACAATAATTTCATCAATAACAATAAAAATATATATAGGTATTACAAAATTAATAGTGTAGGTGCATTTTATAGATATTGAATATTTTTTCAAAAATCGTCCAAAGCCTAAATAATGTATATGACAATATATTATTATGATATAAATATTTCAGTCTCATTTAAATCATAATCCAGAATCCCATTGCGTTTTTTGTATATAATATTTCCGTAATCTGAAAAAGGGCACGTATGCAATAAATCTGTGATTATTATTCTTTGGATCGTCAGGGTCTGCACTTATGTCGTCGACACGATCCGGTAAAAAATTACCTAAATCACGTTTAACTACGGTTTCCTTTTTGAAATCACTTTCGAATTTCCTTAAATCACGTTTCACTAAACTATTGTCTTTTTTGGTATCCTTCAAATCACGTTCCACTAAATTTTCACTACTTTGAAGATTTTCAATGTCCCTTTTTTTCAGAAAGCTTGTTTGAAATAAATTAAGAACATCCTTCAGAGTAGCATCACTAATTTCTCTTTTCTTCTTAAATGAACTCTCATTCATATCGTCATTCTCAATAGGAAAATCACTAATGTCTCTTTTGACTTGCACTTTTTCAGAATTTAGTGTTTTTAATAGACCAGTATCTCCAGAGTTCTCATATAGTTTTTCATCATAGTCGACGTCACTTTTATCAACAATCTCAAGCCTCAAGAATCTATCGTTGCCTTGGCGGTATAGTGGAAGAAAATCGTAGTATTCTTTAACTTTCAGGAGGTAATAATGTTTTCTGGTGTCATATCTTGGATCAACATTGTCAGGATTAGAAATTTCAGCTGCAATTCCTTCAACAGCAAGGTCATCAGGACCCACCAAAGGTACATTTTGTTGTTCCTCACTCAATGGTTGACTGATGATCACTCTTATATCGCACAGAAGCACAAAAGTCACTGTAAAAACTAATTTTTTATACATCTTTACTGACTACTAAATGCTTATACTAACAAAAAAAGCTTGGAAATGTTTCTACATGCGGCTTTTATATGGCTTCCAAATCCAATCGTGAATTGACGCTAATAACGTAAATGTGCTAATTATTTTATGACGCTCCACGGTCAACTATCATAGGAACAAAACGCAATTTTGTTTGTTTTTAAATTTAGGATTAATATATTTACTTGGATTTTTTTTCTAAATTAGACGCTATTTAATTGCATAAAAAAATTGCTGCAAACATTTATCTTGCCAGCAAATTCTATTTTTCTGAATAAGGCTTCTCGAGGAAGAGGAAATCGACCAATTCGAAATCCCAATGTAGCACTCTTCGAACAGCTATCGCTCATTTATTTTACAGGAATAGCCAATCTAAAGGATTTCTCACACTCAAGATTTTATCTTTTGAATAAGCTAAATCGCCGGAAATAAATTTTAAAGAAGTTTTATCTTGTCCGCAGCACGATTTTAGGATGTTTTTCGAAAAAAAAATATTTAAAGAATTTTTGTAATTTTTAATGAAATTGATTTCTCATCAAAAATTCAAAAAAGTATAATCTCACTAACAATAAATACCTACCAAACAAATTAGAGACAAGTAATCAAGGAATTGATCTACTCGAACTAAAAAGGCTTAAAACTAGTTTGTAGAATATAATAGATAGAAACATCATTGCTTGAGATACATACCCAAGGCTTGGAGAGAAATCAGAGTGGTGTTCCTCCACAAACCCGGGAGGAAGGACTACACCACCCTCAAAGCATATCGCCCCATAAGCCTCTCATCTTTTTCTCTAAAAACGATGTAGAGGCTATACGAAAGGTACATAAGGGATGAAGTGCTGTCAACCAATCCACTCCACTCTAATCAACATGCAAACAATGACAACCACTACTCAACAGCTTACGGAGATGACGTAGTCATCTTACAAAGAGGCAAATTCGAGAACTCGCTCTGTAAACGCATGCAAGATACTCTACGAATTATAGAAAGATGGTGCACGGAATACAATCTGTCCATCAACACCAAAAAGACTGAATAGTCCTTTTCACAAGAAAGAGGAAACTGCTGCTGGTATCTACTTCCAGACTCTTAAATGCGGAACTAAGCTTTGCTGCTGAGATCAAGTATCTGTGAGTGACACTAGATTGCAAACTTACTTGGAATCTCATAATGTCAACTAGCTACTCAGAAAAGAAGGGCCGTATATTCAACCTTATTAATTTAATTGCCGATTCGATCGGATTTTTATTGCCATTCAGCAATAAAATCATATAAATAGCCGGCCAAGCCGAGCAATAGACAGACTTGAACCAGTGTTAGTACCGCCATCCTGGGAACACCTTTCTGGAGTCTAGTCTTCCCAGTGCAAGTACCGCCATCCTGAGAAAGCCCCTCTGGGAAACTGCATCGCCATCTAGTCCAAGTACCGCCACCCTGGGAAAGCCCCCCTAGATGAAGATCAGTTAAACATCGATAAGCATTCAACGTAACATTAAACCGACATTCCCAAGTAGCGTCAAACGTGTGGCCCTACCATGGAAGAGCATGCATCCTGGAGGATTCATGTAATGAATTCATAGCAAATATACATATTTTTTCAATAATCTGAGCGAGTTTCTCTCCATCCATCTACCCTACACCCCTCGCCACCAAGAGGTTGTGACATTTGGTGGAGGCGCCAGGCAAACACCACAATAATTGACGCCATGACCGCGGAAAAACAGGCAAAGTTGCCTCAGTTTATCAGCCCCTAAACCTTCCGACCGTCACAAAAACCAGCGCGATCGAGTTCCTAAGGAAGTACGATAGATCAGCGATAGCAAATGGATGGGACGACAAGCTGAAAATTGTTTATTTTGAAACATATTTGGACGGAGCCGCAAACTGGTTTCAGGAATATAAGCGCAACCACCAAAGCAACACTTGGAAAGACATTGTCAAAGATTTTTCTGAGGAATTTGAGGATACAGATTACCAAAGGGCACTCAAGAAAAAAGAAGAAAACAGAAAACAAGGCCAAAATGTGTCAGTCAAGAAATACTTGTACGATTTACAAGTATTATACCACAATTACATACATACCTTAGATATACAAGAATCCATAAGTTCTGTCTTACAGAAATCACGAACCAATCAGAGCGTTTTTGATTAAACTCTGTCTAACTAAAGTTGAACGTTGAAGGTCACTTACTCATCCTTGTAGGTAACCATACGATTCACACTTTCGGACCTATTTTGGTTTGATAAACACAGTGCGCGTGTAATAAAGACAGCAGCCAAAAACAACGCCTGTGATATATTCGAGTAAGTGACCTCCAACGTTCAGCTTTGGTTAGACAGAGTTGAGTGCAAATCGCCAACAAACAGTTTTCTGAATATTTTCAACCAATGAGATTTGACTGGTTTGTGATTTCTGTGAAAACAGGCCTTATCAAAGCATAAAGAATTAATGGTCAATTCAATTCATGACGCACTGAAAAAGGAACAAAGCAACAAGGAAGAAATATTAGAAAGTGCTTAAAATGTCGAATGGGCAAATATAGTACTGGAAGTATATGAAAGAAAGAAGTAACAGGGGAAGAAGTAGAGATGATACTCCTTCAGCTACTGCTATTTTTAAATTTCGGTACGCGATGTGGCCAATGATCGCATCATACCTAGTAAAAATAGAGCCATCTTATTCAAGGCATAGAGATATTTGTTTTGTGCTAATTTTTCATAATCAATTTTCCCGAACTAATGCCAGACAATGCTTTAAATAAAATTAGGTAGGTGACTTGAAAAGGTCGGAACTGTATGACCTCCCTGAATTTAACGATGAAGAATGAAGATGAAGATGATATAGGAAATGAGTTAAAGTTGCTAAATGATTTAAGTTGTATGATCTCCCTGCATTTAACGATGAAGATGATGTAAATACTAAATGACACAGAATTAGATACAGGGCGTGAATCAGAACTTTCTAAAGAAAGTGTTCTTCACATTTACTCTGGCAAACAATGTTTGGTTTTAACGGTTTTGTATAAGTAAAAATACAGATTTTTACATCCGTGCTTACAGAGATCTTCAGGGCCTACCAGTATGTCCTCACTTCAGCGTGCACACAAGTAGGGTGCGAAAAATGTTTTTCAATTTTCAACACTTTAATGCATAAAAAATCGATCAAGAAATCGACTTACAATGGAAAATTTGGATGCGTTGATGATAATGAACTTAAATATTACTTGATCACATCTAGGGGTGATGATATATGGGCCGCTAGACTGAAATTTTCCCGGCCCACTTCCAAAAGTTCGTCCAACCCTGGTAAATGGCATAAGCTGCTATACCAGCTTTTTGTCTCAAGTTGGATATGTGATGCCTAGGTAGGTGACTTCCTCCATGTTGTGTACGGCTGTTCCATTTATGCGTAGCATAGTAGGGTCTGGATTTCTTTTATGGTTGAAGTTTATTAGCTGTGTCTTGGCCTCGTTCAATTTTAGTTTCTATTTGTATGTGTATGTGATTATTTGGTCCAGGTGGCTTTGGATCCTGCTAGTTGAGTTTTCAGGTCTTTTGACGCTGTTGAAGATAGCTATATCGTCTGCGTAGAGGGCGATTTTGGTTTGCTGGCTATTAGGAATATCGCTGATGAATATGTTGAAAAGAGTAGGGGCTAAGACACTGCCTTGGAGTAGTCCTTGGTTGATTAGTATTCTAACAGATTCTGTTTCGTTGATGACGATTTTGGAGGTTTTGTCGTCTAGGTAGATGGCAATTATTTTAGTTATTCGAGTGTTCACTTCCGTCCTGTAAAGTTTGATGGTCATAGCTTTCCTCCATACTGTGTCATACGCTTTCTCCATGTCCAGGATAGCCAATGCCGTCTGAATGTTTCTGTCGTTGAAGTCCATTGCGTAGTCTACTACTCTCGCAAGTGGCGTAGCCCTCTCGGGTCTGAAGCCAAATTGCTCTGGAATGATTATGTTGTTGTCTTCCAGAGGTCTGGTCAATCTTTTGTTCAAAATTTTTCCAGGACTTTCTCTAAGGAATCCAATAGAGATATGGGCCGGTAGTTTGCCGTGATTCTTGGGTTTTTGTTTGGTTTTGGAAAAACAATGATGTTTGCATTTTTCCATCTGGATGGCAAGTAGCTAATTCTAATACATGCATTGTAGATCTACATCAGTTGGACAATGGCAACTTCTCTCGAGCTGGTAAGTAGGTTGATGTCAATGTCGTCGTCGTTTTCTTCTTGGATGATATTTTCATAGATTTGATCCACGTGGTGTTCCGTTCTAATGTCTGACAGGTTCGCGGTTCGGTTGCTGGTGGCAATGTACTGGTTCGCAAAGGCATGTTATTTTCAAGCCTGCTGGTTATTGTTCTTGTGTGGTTGTTATTTGTTACTGTCAGCGGTGGAAAGGCAGGTTTTCGCAGTGGCGGTTCCTCCATAAGAGCACATGTGCACGTGCACTCCCAAATTAATATCAAACAACTTTAAATTTAATTTTATCATTCTTCAAATTTTAACATTCTACCTGTAAAGTATTAATTTAAAAAATTAGTGGCCAAATGCGCCAGCAAAACAAACGCAACCGGCAACGCTGGAATCACAGCGTCCACCGCGTCGCTTGATCGCCCCGTTCACTGCACATTTCAATATTAAATCCAATTGGTGGAACTATGCCCCCCCGCACTCTTTGTTCCCCGCGAAGGTCTAGCGACGTTCGATGTTTTAAGCTGGCTGGTGTGCACATGTAGTCAGTGCACTTTGGGATCGGAAGCCGTTGTTTTAAATTTATTTCGATTCGAGCGCGATTTAACTGAAAACTGTGTGTAGAATGGCGGGATTTCTGAACCCCGATAGCCTTAGCGTGCAATATTTAAAAACAATTAAATTTTCTTCGCTTTCTTTGGAGGAAAAAATCCAAATCAAATGTGTCGGCCGTCCAAAGCCAAATTTAATAATCACCAACATAACAAAATGCAAAAGTCGTGATTATAAACTAACTTTTAAAATGGAAACTTAC